ACCTCTCGAGCTTGTCCAGGTCCCTCTGGGTGCCATCCAGAGAAATGGCATCCTGTCTCTCAGGCGTGTCGACTGCATCACTCAGCTTGGTGTCATCTGCAAACTTGCTGAGCGTGCACTCAATCCCACTATGTCATTCATGAAGATATTAAACAGTACCGGTCCCAATACGGATACCTGCGGGACACCACTCGTCACTGATCTCCACCTGAACATTGAGCTGTGGACCACTACCCTATGGATGCGACCATCCAACCAATTCCTCACCCACTGGACAGTCCACCCATCAAATCCATACCTCTCCAGTTTAGAGAGAAGGATGTTGTGGGGGACCGTGTCAAAGGCCTTACAGAGGTCTGGATAGATGACATCTGTAGCCCTTCCCACGTCCACCGGTGTAGTCACTCCACCATAGAAGGCCACTAGTTGGTCAGGCACCTTTCTTTCTTTTATAGGAAAGGCAATGAAAGGCAGGGGGGAAGGCAACAGGGCTTTTGAACAATAAAAAACCCAAAAGACTGAATCTGCTAAAAATGCAGTTAAATATGAGGTCCTAGGTATCACTGAGATTCCAAAAGTCCCTGCAGAACACAAAGCCTCTACTGAAAATTATATTTAAATGTTTTAAAATTTTTTCCTTTATCTGATTACTACTTAATTACTAAGATTTCTACCACTTTTATGAGTAGGTTTCCACACTGAAAATACTACTTAATCTTTTCTTGAAATCTGGCAGTTTGACTGGATTTTCACTTGGGTTTTGACTTTGTCAGTGTCCAGCAGAAAATGTCATTACCACAGTGAACTCTGAAGCTCATCTTGTTTGTGTAACAATATAGCTTTTTTCACATGATTACAGATGAGCTCGTTACATTGCTCAAATGTGTAGTTATGGGTAGTTCTGTTGCTTCACAGGATATAGGTCTTGTTAAAAATATTGTAAGCATTCAACACAACTTCAACACATGATCCACGTATTTGTGTACCAGTCTCTGCCTTACAGCATGGGAGTCAACCGCTTACACAATCAGATTGAATAATTCATTTTTGCCTATATGTTACAAGGCATATCCAATATCATTGGAGGAGAAATCTGTTGTTTTACCTCATAAAGGTCGAACACAATCTAAACGCAAACTATTATCTTAAACTGTAAAACATCTCACCTTCCTTTATCCCTAATTAAATCAATGGGAGTTCTGTCAAGCTTTTTATGGAGTCAGTATAATCCTAAATGAAGAATAATATCTTATTTTTCAAATTTCATCTTAGGACTTCTCATTCCTATCCAACTAGTGATTTCCTCCAAAACAGCATTTATAACTTCTGATTTATATGACAAAATCATATATCTCCCAGCTCCAAATTCTGCCACTGTTCATCTCCTCCATGCTCATCCTTATCAGCAAATTATACTGTATCTTATGGTTATTCATACATAGTATGAAATAATTTTACTGTGACATCAAAGTACAAATACAGCTGCAGAAAGCTAACGTTGCAGTAGTTAATCAGTTGGGCTATATCTTGCCCAAGCATGGTTATTAAAGTTTTCCATACTACGAAGTACAATCCAGCAGATCTTTTATTTCAATTGCATAAAATATGTTCATAACAAAAATGTGAATTCAAAGATTTATATATTCAACTTTGGAAAACAGAAAAAAAATGTAGAAACTCATTTCTATATTAAAATATTATTAAGCACTTAATATTACAAAACACAAGCATGACAGTGTGAGCATATTTTAAGCGTTCCTTCAGGTTCTAGAAATATTTGGTATCAAATAGTACTCTCCTTCTCAAAATAAGTTTTGGTGAAATTGGTGATAATTAAACCAATACATTAAAAAAAATAATTTTAAGTACAGGAAGGTTAGATAAACCAAACTGATATAAACATGGTAGAAAATACTTTCTTTATTTTAGTTGGTTGTTGGTTTTATGCACTACAACGGATGTACCACATGTTCTTTTCAATCAACTTGGCAAAATAACAACATGCAATTTCTATTACTGCTTATCATATTACAATATATCAATTTACAGTTAACAAGATTAGATTAATTGCTATTTTGTAGGCCATTTTTCATTTAATCTTCTTATGTTAAAAAAATGGGGAATTTCACTTTCATGCATAATAAAAACCAAACAATGTTATCTTATCAGAAGGAACACATCCAAGCATGTTATATCCTATTTAGTTAATGTGACCAGAGAAGAAAAAATGAGCATCTTACCTCAGACCAAAGATATGTGATTGTTCATAACTGAATAAGGAATGAATTTTAGCTTCTGAATTCAAAATTATAAGCCTGTCAATGATATCCTGCCAAAGGAAGACAAATGTAAAAAACTCATGTATGATTCTATATTAAATAGTAGTTTCATAGGGGTATTCACTATAAAATGAAACCTATTACTAAAACGCACATTGAAATTATTTCTGTAAGAAGAGCTGCCTTCCACCATGAAAGTCAATGGCAAAAAGAAAACCATACAGGTTAGGGAGAAAAAAAAAAATCCAGTTAAAAAAAAAAATCACTAAACACACAAAAAGATCCTAGCATATCAAGCATCCTAGTTCTTACTTAGTATTAAACCACAACAAAAATGTTAAACTGGTTTTTGTATGTTTGAAACTGGTTTTTGTATGTTTTGTATGTTTGTATACATCTATTTTAATGAAAAGAACAGCAAACCCTTTAGTATAATACCCTTTCTAACACTGATTAGTACTACATGCTTCAAAACACTGCTATTTATTCTCAGTGTAGCAAGGCTCGGCTTGGGTGTCGAGGCTTACATTTTTCATCCTACAGCATCTCATGTAATAGACAACGACCTGTGGCTGCTTCCTACTACTTCCACAAATCCAACCCAATTATCTTCCCCTCTGGTTCACTGCATATTCAAACTGCTTCTGCAGAAATAATTTCATTAAAAGACTAAGAAATGCATAAAAACATTCACTGATGTTATCATCTCAGAGACAGACTGCTGTGCTATGGTCAGAAGAAACAAACTACAAAGTCCTAATAGGCTTTATCTAATCTGGATTAAATCCAAACTTTTATTTTCTCCAAGTTTAAGTATAGTCTCAGAGACAGCAGAGAGAGTTATTATTCAACTGATTAGATCAATGAGTCATTTCAACATGATATGAGAGAAAAGGATCCATACTTTCATGAAACAACCAAAGCTCTGGTTTTCAGCAGAGAGAAAAGTAAACACCACAAGTAAAACTCCCAGTAGTAGAAAAAAAATCTAGAACTTGTCAAAATAAACTGTCTTCATAAAATGCACTCTTATTTAAAACACAGCGAAAACATTTTTTCCCTATTAGATTTTTTTGGGCAGTACGGGAGAGGGCTGTGAAGAATGCACTTTTTCCACACAGTATGTTCACAATAAAATTCACGATAAAACAATTCAACTCGGACCTGAAGGCTGTTCATAAAATCCATAATGCAAGCAATTGATTTGTTTGGGATTTAAGGCTTTTTAGATGTTTGCACATATAAAAAGTTAAATGCCAAAGGATATTTCTCTAGCAACAACCTCCTTCTCTCATCTATACATCAAAGCTTGGAGCCTGCAAAAGAGTAGAAAGAGTAGGCATAGAGAGAGGACTACTGAGAAAGCAGACCAAGCTCTGATTTGGGATAATAGGAGGGAAGATAATGAACAAGGTCCAACACAAGGTCCAGTCAGAAAAATCTGCAGATAGATATGCACTGCTCAACTACAGAGCATAGCTTAAATATTACAGGTAGAATGTCATCTACTTTAAATACCTAAGACACACCATCTAAATATAAGATTCTCCATAATCACTGCCAAAAAAAAAAAAAAAAGTTTCACCTGCTTTAACATGTCTTTCAAAGCTACAGATCTGGAGGGTACCTTCCAAGCTAGACTCCCTTGCATATGTGTACTGTAGAACCTCTCAAAGGAAGAGTGGAGGCAGGCAGAAGGACCCTGATTCATCTGCTTCATTTTCTAAAATATTTTTATATGGCAAACAGAGTAAAAAAAAATCTGGCATGTATTAAGAAAAAATCTCCTAAGGCACAAAATAAAAACCTGATTAGTCAACAGTTAAAAGCAGTAAAAGCCCAACTGATAATCTGTTCAGTTAATGGTAATGGTGCAACTAGTTAGCCAAAAATACAAAGGAGGAAAACACGTTTAAATCCTGTGTATTTAAGAAATACAGGGCATACAGAGATGATTAAGTTCTGTGCATTATCAAATATAGTTCAACATAAATATTACAAGTCAGATTCTGTGGCAATGTGACATGATTCAGAAATATAGAAAAGCGAAGCACACAAAGCAATTAGGTCTTCTAACCAAATCTTCTAGCAGCACCAAAATTGCTTTTACTTTGCTTTCTAACCATGGTTACATCTGGTCAAATCTTTTATCTTTAGCTTCCTCAATCACTGCCCAAAAATGTGGCTATAACAAAACAAATGTCTGCTTAACCCCAGAAGTTTTCTGAGTACTGAGACTTATCCATTATATGTTAAATTAACGTTAGATGAACTATTTCCCTTCTGTTAACTACATAATCTTGGATGTCTAGTTTAGGCTTACAAAACCCACTGTTGCACAGTAGTTAAGTGAGATAAACCCCACCCAGAACATCTGTAACTGGTTCAGGGAACTTTGAACAATTGTATCAGCATTTCTATTTCTGGAAACCTAGAGAATTCCATCAAAACGCTGAAGTGCCTCAGAAGCCAAAACAACATAGGCTTTCAAAAGTCACAAAAATCATTACTTAACATCTACCCCAATCTGAAAGCTCTCAAGTATGTATCACCTTCAACATACACCTATCTCCCCTGCTCCCAGTGCCTCAGAAAACTTGATGACTGAATAGAACTATCCATCAGTGGACACACTAACATTTAATGGACTGGAAAAACGAAATTTATCATCCCATTTCCTCCTGAAATCGTCAAAACAGTATTACAAAAAAGAACTACAAAAATCCCTTACAAACATAACATATACTATGATACACTCTGTCTAAACAACTTAAACTATCAGCAGTCCAGAGCTTGTGCTAAACACTTTAACACAACAGCAATTCAAAGTGCTAGCTCATTAGAAAAAAACCTGATTTTAACTGCCACTCAGTGTCACAGATTAAATTTGCCTGTGCTTTGTAGATGAGAAAAAAATCTAATGGACTGCAGCTGATTGAACTAATACAAAATAATACTAAATACAGAAATGGTAATACTATTTTTCTTAGGCCTGAAATATGCCTTAATCAGTAACTTTCCAATTAGTGATTTTTTCTGTGTGCGAATCATTTGTGCTATTAAGAAAGCCTGAGGTTTTTTGTTTGGGTTTTTTTTTAATTTTTCTTTAAATCCTCAGATTATGTGAGTGAGCAATATTATATAAAATACAAGTATAGATATTTTCCAGCATTTTCCAGCATGTAACTGCATGCACATACAGAGGTGTTTATGTATGTCACTTTCTTTTCCATGGAAAAACACAATTCTAACACATGCCAGGAAAGATGATCTCTAAATTAGGCATCAAATTTTGTATTATCCTTAGGATTTGAAAATGAAAATTTAGGTTAACATGAAGTGATATGTGCATATACTGCCCTCATGCTGTATATAATACAAAATGCAGAAAACTTCAAAATCTTTCAGTAAGAAGAAAAAACTTATTCTATTATTACAGTAACATTTTCTCAGGAAAAATGCGTTCACAGAAATGTTTCTTTTTCTTTCAAAATAAAAAATACACTTACAATAATATCTGTAGGTACTTCGCGGAGTGAATACATTGGTTTATTTGGTATATCTTGTTTACTCAGGAGCTCAAAAACTGCAGGGTAAGTGAGCAAGTTTATCAGAGACAGAAAAGACTAGAGAAAGAAAAAAAGGGGGGACAAAAGGGAATGTTAATCAGTTAAGTATAACCAAGTAAACGTTAACAATTGTATGCCATTTACTTTAAGTTTGTTCTTACCCTTCTTTGTAGGCTGAACTTGACATAGAGCTGCCCAAAATAACACTGGACACCCTGGCAAGCGTCTATATAATCTAAAAGGGCAGCAGTGTCTGTGAAATATGTATTATCTATCAAATTGTACAAGCCATTTTGAAAATTATAATATTTTCATTATCATAACTCTAAAATCTAGAGACACAGCATACTCTAAAACACGTCACTCTCCCTGATCTTACTACAGTAATCAGAGACATGAACTGATGGCCAGTATTTTAAGACTTTCACTTCTGTCATGATTGTTATTTATTATTTTACATTTAATGGATCCTTGGCATTGTGACCTGCCATGCAACACAAGAATCCTTTCAGTCATCATTTGACTAGTGTATTATATTAATTTTGCCCCACGTGCCAAGAAGCAGGTATAGTTAAAATAAAAATTTACAGAAAGACACGTATCATCATATCCGAAATACAGCACTGTTTCTTCCATCCCATACAGAAGATTAAGTAATTTCTCACCTTCTGACAGCTTTGGTCAATAGGGTCAACTGGAGTAGATTTGGGTTGGGTTATTCTCAAATCATCTTTTCCACACTCCAGAAGACCCCATAATTCAGTTACAAGTGCCTTTATAAAGCCTGAAACAGATTTTCGTTCTAATCATGAGAATGGCAAGAACACCAGAAAAACAATTTTCATATTAAAAAACATTTTACACGACAATTCTAACTCAGATTCTCAAAATTCTCTACATTGTGGACTAAAATTTCACAAGACAGACTGCCTGATGGTTACTCTCCCTGCTATTCTCAATCCTTTAGTCAAATCACCTTTCTACAGCGGCCCTCAATCCTTTAGTCAAACCACCTTTCTACAGCAGCCTGCTCATTTTCAATCTAAAATCTACAGCAACAGTTTGCAAAGACTATTATACTAGAGTAGGATGATATTTATGTATCTTCCATGTAAATGAGCTGCTGACCTTCTTTAACAAGTTATCTGCTACAGATCAAGGCTTAGCTAATATTGGCTCTGTGGTTTTAAAAATACAGATTTACTATAACTCATTAATAAATGAAAACATACCACAATGAAAAGTTAAGGACTAAAAACAATTTTTTAAGAGAAGCACTATAGCTGAATTTAAAATGTTAAATATTAAAATAGAAGAGGAAAGATAGCCATCTAACTCTGAAATCTCCAAATGCAAGTTACAGGCTTAATACAAACTTCACATACATTACACAACCTCCTCTCAGGTTTGAAAAATTAATGCTGATTATTTTTGGTCTACCATTTGTCTTTGATGTCAAGGGCCACTAGAAGCAACTTGGCTGACAATCTTAAACAGGACAGACGGGTTACTCCTCAAGTAGATCTGCTCCCTGCTTTCTGAAAGATCCCAGAGGCATAAATAATAAGCAACTAACAATCAGTTTCCTCGACTGGCAGAATTTGCCTGCCTTTCTGACAGTCTTCCAGTCAGGTAATTTTTATTACACACCAGCCACTTCTAGATACCCAGAGAGAATATTTGTAACTTTGGTACCTCATGGACTTCCTTAGCAACTTAAGATGGTAGCTTTACTTTATTGATAAGATTCCAGTTTTAACATAATGACTACCTAGACCACTGGGTGGCATGGCGACCGTTGAGTTATCTGAGAAGAAACCCGAAGGGAGTTTGTGGTATGGGTTGACATACAAGAAGAATCGTCAATTCGGACAATCACAATTCCATCTCACTATTGTGGAAGAGCGCCAATGACATTCAGGCCTTTGCAGTTTCTCACTCTTTGAGCAGTTAGTAACCATGAAAAAGTACATACAAATTACAGAAATCAACAGTTATTAATTCTGATCTGTAGATCAACAAGAAGCACTTGCAAATTGTTAGCAACTTATTTTTTAACAGATATAAATATCTTCGTGCACATACAGGAAATTTCTGGAAACCCAAACCAATGAAGTAAAGATTTTGCATAATGTAAGAAAAAAAAGAAAAACAACCCTGCATCAAGATAAGTGAATGACTTAAAAGTTGGAAAAAATAAATTTCCATCAAGAAGAAATCAACAGACATTTAAGCAGTCTTTGCTAATGCTCCGTAATTATTCCACTCAGTTGATCTTTTTTAACATCTTTCTCACCGACTTTTTCTAATATGCAACACTACAGCATGTAACTATTCATAATAACGTAATTCTTCAATTTACCTGAACTCTGTAGAGCTACTGCACCTTTTGGTGTTGTTGCCATTTGTGTAACAATCACTCTATTACCAAACTCTTCATACTCATTTGTCTGTTAGTAGAAAATATAAAAGTACAGTGTTAGTTATTCAGAGGGCATGAAATCCTCAAACGATCTCTTAAATATTGATCTTTCCTACACTTGTTTACAGAATTTAATCCACTGTATGGTTAAACTTGAACAGTTCATAGATATTATCCTCTACAGACTTACGAGGGTCAGAATCCAAACCAAACATCTTTATCAAGTATGCTACCAAAATTTAAATGCAGAATACTATGGTTGACACATGCAACATCAGCAAAGAATAAAAATGTTAGTATTATAATTTTTTTGCACACATTCAGTAGGACGTCTGTAACATTATGTTTTTTCTCCTGAAATAAATATTATCTGATTTTTGGTTACATTTCAAGTATTGTTTATCTAGATTTCAACACCACCTACCAACTTGTTCTAGAAAAATTTGCACTTAGAAGAAAAAAAGAAAAAATATTTTGCTTAGCATTTCAAACTTTACAGTAAAAAGTCAGAAAAACTAAATATATGCCTGACATTCTGAAGATGAGTAACATCCAACAAACAAATCAGTGTGGCACCAATATCAAAGATGATAAGCTACATTTTAAATTCATTTTTGCAAAAAATTAAGTGACAAAATGGTTTCTGGATTTATTTCCTTATTATTTTCTTTCTTCTTTATTTTATTAAAATCATTAAAAGAAAGAAAAACTGTACAGACTCTGTAACGCTTACCTGGAGTTTTTTTGATAAACTGCTGAACATAAAGTTCACACAGTCATTCATGGCACCTGTACTATGAAGCAGAAATAGTCCTTTGGGTGTGGCAGAAAAATTTAGCAAGGCATCTAACAAAGTCTCTTCCCATAACAAACTGCAAGAGTAACAAAATAATAATTAAAAAAGATATGTAAAAAAGCATGGGAAAAAAGAAAAACTACAATTTCTAACTTTGAAAAACAACGACACTTCATTCACTGGACTCTATGTTTACTCTGTATGTTTAAAAAAAAGCATTTGGGAAAGTTATAATATGTATTAGACTGTATTTTGCACAAACATTCAAATTCATCCTGGCAAAACTAAGGTTAGGTAGGAACACAGAACAGAAAGATGATGTAATGGGGAACCCAAAAGACCCATGCCATCCTTAAATGTACTTATGACTTACTACCTGACTCTAGACAACTCTTCTAAGGTATTGATGTGGCAGTTACAAATTGGCAAAGCAGGCACAGAATTTCTCACCAATGTAAAAACACTATGAGGAACTAATAAAAACTCACGTTTGAGGAGATAGAGTCCTGCTAGAAATTAGTACGGAATTATGAAAATAAGGTGCTATATATACACAAACAGCTTCATGTACTAACAGCAGTAAATGGAAAATATTTTCTACAGGCATGGCAGGAAGAACAGCAATTGCAAGAATAAAGTATGATGATACCCTCTGCCCTACAAAATATGCGATGTCCTAAAAAGTGAAAAGTGAAGAAATTACATCACCTCTGACTAGGTACCATCCCTGCAGGTATCACTAGACTCTTGCGATTCCGATTCTCTAAAAGCATTTGTTTACTTGATTCTCATCTCTAGTTCTCATTCACCATTTTTGACTCCTATCACCAGCAAGCAGCATGCAGCTTTTCTCATAGCAGTCAACCATTACCCCAAACTTTAATCACTTCTCCTGCAGAATCTCTGCCATGTCATGTTCAGAAACAAAAATTTCACCCAGAAATATATCAGCATGTCTTGTTCCATAGTTAAATGAAAAATCTAGATGCTAGGAGGAAATTGTAGCTTGTGTCAATGGTAGTGATTAGTGACAGCCTCCTCAGTCAGCGCTCTGCATCCCTAGATTTCTTTTTACCACTAGATTTGAATTACTATAACCAATTCACATGCCACCACTACAGACTAGAGTAATAACTGTTGAGGTATCTTTGCAAATTATACATGAAATCTGTGGTAAAGTATAAACAAGAATCTACTTAATTAACTAGGTTCTACACAAACACCAACATCACCCTGAATTTTCAGGCTCACAAGTATTTGTGTATTTCTCATCTTAATGCACACAAACATCTATAAAGGGACATTCAGTTTTAGTATAAAAGGAAGGATGCCTTTCCCTTAATATGTATCAGGCTTTCAGCCAGAATGCTGCCAATCTTGCTACATAATATTTTGAAGGTGTAGACACCATTTAGCAAAACAGCATTTTAAATTAACACCACATCAAAGCCATAAGATAAACTCTGACAGCTATTTTGTTTTATGCTTTCTAATTCACATTTTCCTCAAACCAATTTTTGTAGTCAGAGAGAATCAACTCTAAGTCAGTTTTACATAGATTAGACGCAACTCCGTAAGCCAACAAAGTCCTGAAAGGTCAAAAACAATTTTGTAACTCTACTGAGACCTATGCTAGGATGACTTCACTCCCTCTACCTACCCCTATGCTTTTGGCAAAAAACCACAGGGTTATAAGATGCCTCAACTGTGGATAAATTAGCAGTGTGTGTTCATACTTGTGCATGTGCATAAATTAGGGATCAACTTACATGTTTTTTGACTCTAGACTTATTGATGAAGTCGAATCTCCACCACTTACAGGAGTGGGTACTCTTTCTGAAAGCAAACTTGTCTGTGAAATAAAAAAATAAATAAATACCTCCTTACTGTTTTATTTATACCATTTTTAAACTCCAGATCTTGGTCATTCTCTTGTTATATATTAAAAAAGTAACAATGATCAGGTTGTAGTCTAGCCTTTGGCACAGAAAACAGTATTCCGCTACATTTTTTATTCCAGAAAAGCTTATTTTTTATTTTTTCCTTGGATATAAACCATTTTAAAGCTAGTACATTTTTAAAATTTTTATTAAAATTCTTAAAATAAAAAACTCTTTTAGCAAACCATTTTTGCTACACTATAAACGGTAGAGTATTTTATAAACTGCAGATGTATTAAAATAGAACAATGACAGAAAATAATGTAAACAGTAATCAAGATGGCAGAGTTGAAAATGTGACTTTCCTGTACTAACTTGTCGAGTCCTGAAGTCCTGAATATGTAAATTCCACTTCAGTCTCAATTCGACCTCCAAAGTGATGTGAAGAAATGGCATTTTGTCAGTTAAACGTTTCATGATTTTTTTTAAATTCAACACATTCAGCCTACTTATCTTGTATGTGTCAAAACAATTTATCTGAATGATGTTTTATACCATAATAAAAATTTTTAATGTGCAAAGAAGTCTTTTGTGCATGTGCAAATGCTGTGGTGCTTTAGAGAAAATAACTGGAAATGCCCATCAAAAGCATGTAACAGTCTGCCTGTGATAAACATTAAATAGAGTAACAGGTTAGTTCAAATAAGACTGACTAGTTACACAACAGGAAAGCACAAAAAGACAGACAGATTGTTGAGTCATGTAAGTTACAGCATGATTCTAGTGAACTAAACTCCTTAATTCAATAAAATCCTAAAGTTCTCAATGCAAGGAAGAACATAAGTTTCAAAACCAACATTCTTTGATGAGAAATAGAGTTTACTGTGATATAATTATGACTGTAAGTAATAATATATTTTATTTTCAATCAAAATGTATGCTTTCATGATAATATACATATATAAAAGCAGTGAGAAATCCACACAAGCTGGTGATTTAAGTCCCTCTTCTATTCATGTTCTATCTTTCTGATATTTTCTGCCTCAGTTTACATTGTGACTGTATTTTTAAAATTTCTAATCATAATAAAAGCATACGGCATTTGACAGAAGAATAGCTTTTTTTTTTCCCTTGCATTCAATCTCTCTCCCGCTTCCTCACCTCCAAAAAGAATCTTTAGTTTTTTAGCCAATTTTTTCTTCCAGCTTGGTCTGATCCTTCTCTAAGAAAATATTTTACAATCACTGGGGGAAAAAAGAGATGATTCCATGTGAAACAACACAGCTAAATTTTGGTTTTCCACTAGGAGTCCTAATACCTATAGTTTAAATATGCTTTCAGTTTAGCTGGAAGCCAAAGTTGAAGCTTTGTATGCTACCCTTACTTAAATGCTGCCGATGTTATTTTAATGATTCAAACATTTGTTTGAATTTTACTTCACTGTGAACTTTCTGAAAACTGGTCTTGCAGCATCTGCTGTCATTTTTCCATCTTAACTAAATTTTTATAGTAATAGATAAGAATTTTCACACTGCATATGGCTATCAGAACAATGAAAATACAAAAGTTTAGTGAATAAAGCAAAGATCCATATACCTTGTTCAACTTTATAACAGAAAGCAGAATATGCAGAACTGTTGGACCCAAGTTCTTTCATGCAGAAAAAGCATTAGACTAGCAATGAAACTGAAGTTGAAGTACAGACTCTACACTTCGTAAGATATCCAAGCACACAGGTAAGACAAAAACTCCTGCCTGGCACTTCTCATTATGTTCTCTTGAGAATATTTCAATGGCATCTAACTGTCTAAGTCAAATATTTGGAATCTCCTTTTTTTCTCCGTATCTCCCACCAAAACTAACTAGTTTAACCTAAAAATTACTAAGACCACATCTCAGGAGTTTTTCCTTTCAAAATATCCCAAACCAAGAGTGAAGGCCAGATCTGTGGTGGACACTGGCTATCATGACATCAGGTGACCTCCAGCATCAAGGACAATGTTTAGAAAGGAGTTGATCTATGAATGATAGGTCTATCGATGCATTTTGAGAGTTCCTGGTTTAATCTTAAGGTGCAGAAGTCTCAAACTAAGTTTCTGCTAGGTTCACATACAGAAGGAAAATTTGAAAAGTAGAACTTCATTTTTAGAACAATTCCAAGCATTATCTCACTACTTAAATATAAGCAACCTAAAGCAAAGAACAACTATTACATAAGCTGAACCTCTGACAGTAAGATTTTTTCCGATCTTCCCAATCCAAAACAAGATTTACCTTTTTCCAGGCCTCTCCGATAGATTCATGCAAGCCGTAAGGAATTAGCATCTGCAAGCCTTCGCAAGTTCTGTACATCTGACGACATACAAAAATGAAAGCTCCTTTAACAACTGGCAAAATCTCGGATCCGGATAAAAGAGAAATGTCGTCATGAAGAAGTTTCTTTGTAAACTGAACAATTACATGAACAGCTGTAGGACTAGAAATAAAATAACACTTTTAAAATGTTGTTTTGTAGTCATCAATAAGCCTTGAAACAAATCCTCTGACTAAACTTATTTAAATTCTTCTAGGGGAAAAGAAACTATGAAAAGAAACTATGACCCACTATGGAGGGGCCAACTATATTACAACTTGTAACACCAGTCAGAAGAAAAGAAATGTACAGCAAGTGATTTTACTTTGGCTATAGGTCTACATAAAGCAAAAATGCACCCATTTCTTCCATCCAGCCCACATAGACATGAACTACACAGACTGTGTGTTGTATAGGAGTCCAGTTGGGAAGAGTAACGAGACAATCATTTTAGCTTCTGCTTAATCAGTGTTAAGGATATCACTACAAGGCAAAATTTGTCCTTGTTCTTCCTTTTTCCTACCTGAGATTGACTTCTGAAGTCTTCTAGGCTTGCAATGCCTAGAATACTAAAATACTATCTTTTACTTCCAACCCCCCTTAAAAACATATGCAACTTCTGAGATTCCTCCACTTAGAAGACATACATTCCATACATTTCCATGACCTGCAGCTTAGATATTTTTAAAGGCTAGTCTCAACTTTACTGCCCTGTTTCAAGTTTTAGCATCAGCTAACAATATACTACCCACAGGATCACACAGATCCTAAGTTCGGTACAGCGTTACGAATGTCAGCTTCTGATACAAGATCTGTCTCTACTAGATGTATTGAAAAGCGAATGCTACATTAAATCTATTCTTTCAATAAATTAGGTTGATTTTTAATATTTATTCTAAAAACAAACAAACAAAAAACAGAGAAGAGAGGCCACTATAAATATAATGGAACTACATTCAGAGAAAGGAAAGCTCTCACATGAATAACAAAAACAAGTAAACCATGGAAATCTCCCTTAATAAAAGTATTTCTTTAAATTGTCATTTCACCTGGTTATACACATAAATGTCTCCCTAATACATTCTCTAAAACACTTGCTACTTTACTTGATAATCAGGTATTTTACTCCAAACATAAAACAAAACATATCACGTTATAGATAAATGAAAAAAGAGAAAATGAGTCTCATAAGACTAATGTAATTCATTAAAGTACTCACTAATGCTATTCATTAATGCACTCTTACCTATCGTCTTTGACAGTTTTTTCATTTTCTCCATAAAGAAGAAGAGAAAGACCATCTTCTACAGCAGCAATCCTTGCCAAAATATCAGCTACATCAATTAAAGTGGTTTCAAGACAATTTATACACACCTATTTGGAAAAAAGAAAAAAAAAAGTTTTCGATTCAATGTTTTTGTGAAAGCTGTTTATTCAAGTCTGGCTTATGTATGCAGAACCTGAAGGTCACCTTTCTGATGATTGCTTAATGGCTTAAACAAAATAAGTAAATGGCCTATGTTCAAATGCCATCACATAGAAATCTTCATCACAAATGGCAATATTGTCACTTTTAATGATTATGGCAGAAGTTCACTGACTGCACAGATATAGAGAAAACACATTTCTAAACTCCTTTTTCTCTTTTCCCACCATGAATGTGGAAAGGCTCTTGACATGCCATCTAGGGGTATAAGACCAATACCTGAATCAAGGTAGGAAACTAAGAAACACACTAACTCCTTCATTGCTGCATATGCATTGGCAACTCTTTGGCTAGAAATGGAATTCTAGTTCCTAAGATGATCTTCTGTGTCTACCTCACTTTTAGGCTGCGATAGGCCCTTTGGAATCATGAGGATTCCCCACTGGAGCAAAGCAAGAGTCATCTGCCAATGCCTTATTCACTTCAGAGCACTGTATAGGCACAACTAGGCTGTAATGAAGCAGAGTTGAATATTTAACACTGGGATTTAAACTGTTCGGTCTGGTACCATCACTAATGAATGTACTACCCGAACTAATGCTAAATTGGCCATTGCTCATTAATAAGTGAAGGCAATATTCCAACAGTAGACAAGCAGAACATGGGTGCTCCATGAAGAACCTGTCAAGGAACAGCAAGGGCAGGATACTCTGCAAGGGATGAGAAGCCAGGAACTGAGTGTGATAACAAGGCAGGCAGAGGCAGTGGCTTGCCATCAGATGGGTGGGCAGTCCCACCATACCCAAGTAAGATGAGCAGTGATAGTAACTATGTTCACCCAACAGTCCAGATCCCCTCCATAGTGATGAGGGAGGTCCAGGGTTAAGCCGGGAAGCCGAGTCAGTGAGTCAGGGACAGCTCCAGATGCAGTAACCAGGGTCAGACACAGCCCAGTGACCACCATGCAACTGGATCTATAGTGACAAAGTAGGTCAGAGACAAAGCAAGCGAAGAAGTCATGTCTGTGACTGATCAATGGGACACTAGGCTTCCATGCTGCTACAAGTACAGGCAGGGAATAAGGACAAGAATCTCAGCTTAAAAAACACTCCTGAGTCGAAGGTGGAGTGAGTCTACACTGAGGCTTATTAGCAGAGTCATCGCTGGGGGGGATCTCTGCTGAGGCTTCCTAGCAGAGCTTTCTCAAACAGCTCTCTTCAAGGCTGGACATCCACACTATTACCTATGCTGGCCCTGAGCCCAGGCTGCAAGCCCAGGGGAGGGGAGATGTGCCGAGGGTCCGACAGTAGACAGCAGCTGTAATTCTGCAGGACTTACGCAGTGTCCTAAAGGTGCTCACCAAAACTCTGTTCCTGTCCACATGCCTTAATAATTTGGTCATGAGACAATCAGATCAGAATGTACCTTCTCACTCAGGACTGAGAAACACTCCAAATTCCTAGGAATTATACACAAATGTACTTACAGAGAAGAAGGACAGTTTTCAAAGTGAGAAATCCTCTTTGGTAGCTTCCCCCTACCCACAACCACGACAATAGAGTGGAGTCAACAGTGAGATGAGCTAGGGGGGATTACTGTTCCCAGTAATAGTTGTTAAATATCTAGTATGTCAGAATGGGGAATAAAGCACCACTCTCCTGAAGTTGAAGTCCACTGCTTAAGTCTTTTCCTCTCTTCTGTTATTCATAAAGGACAGCTTGGACTCAGAAGAGAAATTATTTTTAAAATGCTATGCAGCCAGCTCCTGCTTCTTCTCTTACAGGTAGTTCTATATTTTATATAGTGCACAGAGGAAAAATAAATAGTCTTCCTACTTCAAAATCTAGGGAATTTACTATTAATGCCGGTGGTCAAAGTAACCCAAGAGAAAAATACCATTTCGACTTTGTTTTCTTAGTTAAAATTTTCAGTGATATAGAGGATTAAAATCTCTCTGACCTTTTATCTGGGTTAGTGAGTATCATTGTTCAGGATTCTAAGAAAGGAACATACTGTGTTGTCGCTGTTTCTTTAAGAGTGTTATTATTTTGCTTTCTCTGTGCAACACCAAAAAAATCCCAAAAACATGGTACTTTGTTTATTTAAAATGCAACTGCAATGTTCTGCACCAGCTATACTTCAGCAGCAACTCAGAGGATACAGAGCCCAAAAGGTCAATACTGCTGCCCACAAACTGATTCTTCTGACAACTCCTGCTTATAGCCACCGAGTTTTTACTCCCCTCTCTACTACAAATTCACAATACTACTCTGCTTAAAAGGCAGAGTAGTATTGTGTAGGCTTGTGCTTATCTGAGTGAATTCAGAGCTCAAACGTAAAGTAACTGCATTGTTTGCTCATTAGGCCCACTGTACAACCAAGGAGCAGCTCCAGTGCTACCCATCCCGCAACCCCAGCTGAAGAAAGAGATGTGTGCGTGGCCATAGCCTTCCTTTTGAGATAGGCATGGTCCAGTATTTAGAGTCCAGCATTAGGATTCCTGGGTGTCTAAGAAGAGCCAATGGTTTGGCTGGCAAAAACAGTTCAAATCCTTGTAAAAGAGGAAGAGGGTCACTCTGACATAGTCTACCTTTTCTAGCTATTGATTTGCCAGATGCAATACAGAACAATTTGCACCTTTGTTAGAACAAATATGACATATTCCAGATTCGCAACACATAACCAACCTACTACAGCTACTGTGCATTAAATATTCCTGAACATGACCCATTTTTTTTTAAACAGACCAGTTACTAAGTCAGGAGGGCTTACAATTTGTTAAGAGTTCAGCTACCTACGAGAGACAGCTGAGCATGGCAGAAACAAAAAAAAAGAAAGGGAAGAACTCCTAAGCCTTGAGATAATTTCTTTTTTAACTACAAATATATAATAAAGAAGAGAGACAGTTGTATATGCTTTAGAATACCAAGTGACCACAGAGATTGCCTGGGGGATTACACAGGCCTCCATCACAGTAAATCAATGAAGTATTGCCTTAGTACTGTTTTTAAATTTGTCTATCAGTGTTCAAGGCATATGCAGGCTCAGTCATTTTTTTGTACCTGAAAAAATTTGCACTAAATTTTTGCAATGTACATTAAAAACAAGACAACTTAAAGTGTTAATCTTGCAAAAGCATCCATAGAGTGCCTTAAAATAAAATGTTTAAGTAATGCTACTGTAGTCAGTACAGATAGCCACAAAAGAGCTAAATTATTGACATAATCCAGTTTTTGCAAGACTATGGTTTTAAGCGTTACAAAAATACATACTTTAAAATATTCACTTGGAAACTGATTGTTTATACTTTTGAAAGAGCATTAGAGTATTTTTGTATAGGTAAAAATATTTTTAGGAATTAATATGAAAAGTCTCTTCTGAAAAATAAACAAAATGCACTGAAAAAATAATCAGAAGGATACTGACAAAATTCAACTTTAAGAACCTAGATGAGGTACTTAAGTTAGGAACCCAGACTGCCTTTGCAAGCATGAGTCTCAGGAAGTAAATTCAAAACTTCTCAGCCATTAATTTCTTTCAAAGTCTTTTTATGTAAGACAGCTCAGGCTCCTCCATGGGCATTTCAGACCCTCAGCCTCTGTGTCTTGAGACTTACAGTCACCTAGATCAATTAAATCCTCTCAGTCAAAATAAAAACAATAGGACAGGCTGAAACTATAACTAGATTTTCAAGTACCTAGAGGCAGATAATGTTTCCCAAGATTTTTACAATTCTTATAGAAATGTTTAAAAAAACTAAACCAAACCAAAAAAACCCACAAGCTCTTCCTTTTACCAATTCAGAAAATAATAATTTTCCATGAAGAATTACATATTTTACTTATACTAATTACTGAGAACACTTAACTTCAAGTTGCCAGCTGAACTTAAAAAGGAATAAAAGTAAATTGCCTTTAAATAGCAGGTAGAACAAATAAGCATCCAAGAAATATCCAAAAGACACACAAAAATGTTGGAAGGAAAAAAAAAAAAAGCGATGTGATTTTCCCAAGGAAACGATCTTACTACAGCACAATTTTTGCTACTATTCACAAGAGTTCAAGAAAACCAAGTTTGCCAGACCAATCACAATGACAGCCTACGCTATTTAAGGCATACTATAATAGCTAATGTAGAAAATACTACAGAAGTTACCATGAGCCTAAATAAATCTTCTACATAGAAAACACAGAAAAATGATAATATTCTATAGATTTAAAAATTATTACTACAAACCTCTGTGCCACTCAGTAAACTTTGAATAGGATGAAGCAGGGCATCTATCACTGCATCCGTATATAAACATTCAGCAGCACATCCTGTTTGATCACAAAAAACTTGCAGAATGTCCATAACAAGACTTGCTGGAGAATAACTGTCTGGTGAACACAAGATGTATCTGTTTATATTTTAACTTACAAGCATATCTATATGGCTTACGTAGATGCTTCTGCATTATAATTTTGTTAAGCACTGATTTAACACAGTTAGAGGGAAGAAGGAAAGGTAAGGGAGGAAAGGAAGAGAACAATCTGCACAAATAACAGACCCAAATTAAAAACTGCAGAAGTTGTTACCACATGTCTCATTATAATTATGTGTATTAGCATATATTAAAAACAAACATTTACCTGTATGCGCTGCGAAAGCTGTCTTTGGGTAACTTGGAGAGTAATAAATAAGCTGAGTAAATAATACCAATAGATCGGTTATGGATATACTATCTATTAAAAAAAAAAGAGGAAAGTACTCTGCAAATTAAAGTGCAACTTCAATTTTACAAATAAAATGGATTTTGTAAATATATGTGATCACTGCTTTGCTTTATTGAGGAAATCAACATATGTACAACTGATAAAGCAAAGGACATGCATGTCACTGGGAGTCTACCAAGGTATTTCATGATCAGCTTGTAAGGCTTGATCTTGCTCCCAATTTAGCCAATTGCAATTTTACCATGTCTTCCATTGAAACAAATGGCAGCCAAAGTTTGAGAATGCTGAATATACACAGCTGTAGAAAAATGCATTGCTTTGCTATTAGATTAAGTGGAACAGCTGGAAAAGAGAGAAGCTCTCAAACAACTCTTCCTCAGGTCTGAAACAAAAACAACAAATGTAGCTAAATGCAAGTTGGGAACTATTGCTCCAAGTTTAATGTAATTATGTTAATAAATCAGACAATTTGTGAGGAAAGGGTTGCTATCTATGAAGCTGAGAAGGACACTATTAAGAAGACAGATGGTGAGATTGTTACTTTTGTAGGGGAGAGAAAAAAGCAACCATCACCAATGGATCACTGCTTGAATGGTGTTATACAGATAATCCATAAATGACAAAAGCACTCGATTAGAAGATGTTTCTTCCTCACAACTGCTGTACATTGGATCTATTAAGTCCTGATCCTCAAACCACAGGGACAAAATACCTTCAAAAGACAAGTCTCAGTAATGTTTTGAATTCTACACTGAATTAATAAAGATATTAATGTAATGGAACACTACAATTTTTCTCACACAGTTGCATTTGCCAACCCTGCACAATGTATCACCATATGCACGTTTCCAAGCGCTTTTCCATCTCGTATCTTCTGTCCTTGTTAACACCTCTGTTCCACAGGTACTGACCTTTTCCTCTACCATTGTTTTACTTCAATTATATTAATTATATTAATAGGTTAAGCTCAGAGCAATCATTTTCAATTTGCAATTAGCTTGAAATACTGATTTTGTTTCACACCTGAAAAACAGTTTTGGTCCCTGGACATGTCCCTCTTCCAACCAATTATATCAATTGGTTTGACAAAAGATATTACTCATACCTAGAAAGACTGAATCACTTACACACTAATCCAACTCTCCTCCTATGAAATTAATATATTAAACGTAAGGATAAAAGTGATCTATTCAACCACATCCATCATAGATTAAAAAACTGTGTTGATGCTCAAAATTACCTACACCGGGTTTTAAGAAAGGTTTCCAGGCACAGAATTGCTCACAGAGTATTGTCCTATAATGTCCACAATATTGCAGGGGAAATATAGATCAAGTATGGATAAAGTGTTGCTCAGCAGGTTCCATTTTCCTCAGCCCTCCCCTTACCTTTTTTATTTTTCAGCTGTACTGGAAAGAGATTTCGGCCTTGCTTATAGATCAACAATCTTCCTAAAAGGCACAGCGAATGAACAAAATAGACGTACTGCAATTCTGGTCCAGTGTAAGAAAAGTTCTGCGTATCACCTTTAACAATAAAACCAAAAAATCAGAACTTGACTCTTTTAGTTTACTCTACAGTACCTAGCTACTACCTGCAATGTATGTGGATCATTTTGTATATAAAGACAGACAGACAGCTTAAGTAACTAACTATTAGTGTCCTCTCAAAAGATAGACATACAATATTTTGGGAAGAAAAAGAACAGATAGAATGTCTTCCTCTTGAGGTAGCATGCTCAAAGACCTAGAGAATGTGGATGTATGTGCATATAATGCAAGACATGCAAAGATACTCACTACAATGCTGCTGGGAGAAGCCATTAACTCTGGAATTTTTATTAACTGCTGCCTTGCAAAATTCAAAATAATCAAGACATTGCTGGACAGCTGCATTAATCTGTGGAAAAAAGCACAACATAATAAAATACCTGGTATTTCACAACGAAGTAATTCTCTCTTGTATCCAAGTACTGTCCTTTAACCAAAGAACCTAAATATCCACTTCACTGCAATGACCTCATGTTTCAGCACTTTGGATGGGTTAACCAACAGGAGGCAAAATTTTACACGGCTATTAAAATACATTGCTATTATTATTACATTATCACACTACCAGCTCTGTAAGACAATCTATGAAAAAGAGTACAGAGAACATGCAAGTATTTTGAGAAGTTAATGGCAATCTGTGAGTGCCATATTGTCATTACTAAGGAAGATTTTCATTTTCCATACGTGAAAAACTTTGTCTTGAGTACACTTACTAAACTCTACGTTTGGTTGTTGGGTGCTGTCAGCAGTATTACTGTTCTTTGCAGAAGTGTTGTATCATTATCATAGTATTATCATCTAATCAATGTATATAAAAGTTTAATAAAAATTATCAGCATGGATTTAGAAATTAATCACAAACATAGCATATGAATAAAGAAGTACATTTAGATTTATTACAGTCTGGAGCTGCTAAGATTTATTCACAAGTGTAAGTAAAATATACAGACATATGTAATAAAAAGAATACTTAATCGGATGTTTACTCTATGCTTATAAATTAGATTAGACTACCCTGCTCATGGACATCCTATTATAAACTTTTTGTTGCATGGAGCTTGCTTTATTCTATGCTCTGTTCTATGCATGCAGATTAACAACACAAACACGCCTTTTATAGTTGTCTGTATCCTTGTCTCCCATCTTAAGGTTTTATCAGTCACATATATTTTACATCATATTTCATTTGTATTACAAGATTTTACAAAACATAGCCAAAGTCCTGTCTGTATGAATGGATCTCACATCTATACTGGTCTTACTGATAACAATGAAACTACCATCCCAGTGAAGAGATCTGCCCATACAGAATATGTGATAGGATTAACACCTACATTACTAAAGTTTTCCCAGTTTGATTTATTTTGCTGATACTTTGAATCCTTAATGCTTCATATCACAACTTAAAGAACACAATGGTGGTTTTTTAGTCTCTTTGCATCCAAAATCCAAATTCAGCATAGAGTTTTTATGATTTTTTTCATGCATCATTTTCTATTTTTATACATTATCAGAAATAATTCTGAATATGAATGCAACATAAGGAATTAATAAATAGCAATCCTAATTAAACACCTGCTATAAAACATCCAAATTTCCCCTTACTCAGAGCTGGTCACATACCCTTCTCTGCATTTAATAATTATTCATTTAAGCAAAGAGAAATTTAAAAAAAAAAAAAAAAAAAATCAAAAAGGCTCATCTAGCTAAACAACATGGAACAGCTCTGACAAAAGGGAAAAAACGAAAAAAAATGCTCAAACTACAATGTGCAAAGCAAGAACAAGTTCCAAGTAAATCTGCTTTGGGAAATACTTACCAAAGATTTGTATTTCTTTTCCAAAAGCCTAAGTACCACTGCTCTGCTGTAATATGCATGCTAAAATGACAAAGAAGACCTAATGTCAACTTCAAACATAAAAGTGTTATTTTTTAATTAAAAAGTAGAAATTATCTCTGATTCCATTCTATTAGGGATACTGTGTACAGTACATAGTCAATGTATTGACCTCCAGCTTGTACAAACCAGTATTATACTCAACTGAGCCTTTTGTTTGCAGTACATTTAAGATGACAAAAAAAATCATGTCATTAGAAAAATGTGTAGCAGAACATGCAATAAACAGAAAAACAATAACTACACTGAAATGTTAGACTATGTGTTTTGACGTTGCCATGTAAATCCTAAATTATAAGTTTATACATGATAAGCTGCAAAAAAGCTCTAATGTCCACTGGAGGTTAGCAAGTTGTGTGCAGCATACATATATATAACCGTACTTTCATGCTCATCACTTCTTCCAGAAAAATATTTGCATCTTTTGATGGCTGTCAGTCAATTATGACAAAGGGACTGAAGTCCCAAAGCACAGTAAGTTCTCAGAAATTTTGTGAAAACTAGCAACTGAATAGAAATGGAGGGAGAAAGTAGCATTAAAGGGCAAAGGACATAAATGCCTAAAAAAACCCCAGACTTCCTTAATTACAGTACTCGTTATAGATTGTTATCAGGTCACAATACGTCTGTGATAATAATAGCCATAAACCAAACTTTTCAAAATACATGTCAGACATGAACAAGTTACACATTGTTGGGTTGGGTTTTTTTTTTTCCTTACCGTCCACTTTTTAAACCATACTGCTTTGATATCTAGCAGAGCCAAGAAGTAAACTGGACTCAAAAAATCTGCAGAGGCAGGATGATTAGGCTCGTGTTTTACTGACAAAAGTGACAAGGTACTCTCCACTACTTCTTCCATGTACCTTACAATACAAATAGGAAAAAAAGAACAGAAAACAAAAATCATTTAAATCTTTCCACCAGTAATATTTAACAACAAATTTTTGGTAAAACCTCATTGTTCAGACAAATCATAAGTATCAACAACATTATCTTTATCTTTAGCTTGATCTTGTAAGGATATTAATTCTTTGTATTACCATGAATAAAACTAGTAACAACATACATGAGTATTCTCCTACATGATTACATTATATTTTATTACACTTGTTACTTTGTAAAACATCCAAATTATTTTTGTTAATAAGCATTAGAACACTTCAAAAGCTAAGTAAGCAGCTTTATATGACCCATGACTACTCCTATGCAACTTCCCTATTCCACTTTTCCCACCCTCTATTTATATTCCCTCCTTATCACTGACCAGTCATCTGTGCATCCTGTTATCAACCTTTTGCTAAAATTATATGCATCTAATTATATGTCAAAAATCATTAAATTAAGAAACAGTGACAGGTTTTTGAAGGTGACATACTTTTCTGGATGACGAATCCAGGAAGAGGGAGCTTCCTTTTGGTACTCATTTAAAAGTCGGACCTGAAAACATAATTATTAAAATTAAAAAATAAATAATGCATGATGTTTCAGTAATGACAAAAAAGGTATGGAAAGTTCATTTATACCTTTTTAAGTAAACGACTTATGTCTGCGTTAGATACATCCAGACCAGCTGAAATACGAAGAGAATATTCTCCAGAAAGAAAGTACAACTCCAAGTGTCTTGCTAAAACAGAAGGAAAAAATCACCTCACCTCCATGACAATAGTGGCAAAACAGACTGTATTATACAGCTTCATTATAAAAGTTAATTGATTTTCAGGAAGTATATGACTCATGAAGTCTTAAATGTAATTAAATGCACATACCTAAACTTGTATAGACTTCTCTCGTCATATTAAAGGGAGAAGAAGAAAAGGTTTTTGCATAGAACCTAAGAATTTTCTCCTAAGGGAGAAAAAGCAAGCAATGTATTAAATAGTCATGTAACTGTGTATTATTATTGCACGATAATCAATATGTAGTGGCATTATTCTTAAAATTACACATTGCTCAGATATCTCTACAGATGTGAAGCGAATTTTACAAAAATATACAGTTTGGGACCACAGAAACCTACAGTCTGTAAGAAATTTTACTCGAATACTTTGACTGACAGCACCAATGCAAAGGCTCACTGAGATACAAAGAAGCAGATGAGGGAATATTACTATACTTTTCCATTAACATTAATTTTTTTATGTTATTAAATGTACCAAAGACTTGTAACTAGCACTGTTTCAAAAGAAACTGTAGACCTTCTAAGCTGAAAGAGAAATGCATAACAGCAGCTGGGACAGCTTTCATATTTATTTGATAATCACTTTAAAATTCAAAGAAAAAGAAAAAGAAAAAAAGGCTTAATTGGCATAATAAATAATCTAAAAGCAGTTTAAGCAGCTGCCATTTTTTTCCTCATCAGTGCCTGTGTAATATTACTACGTATAATTTTCTCATCATCATGGAGCATATACCTGACCTAAATAGGAAATATTAACATGACATGTTTTACAGAAGAGTTTTGTCAACTTTTTTTATGTCTGTTTGCTGAAAGACATTGAAACTTCTTCATTCCCATTAAAAGATATGTAAATGAGTACTCCAGTCTCTAAAAGCCCTATTGAAATCCTGTTGTAATCTTTTAAATCAAGACCTACTGGAATCATACAGTTCTTTTACTTCAAAAAGAGTTTATCTGATAGATACACAAGTAATAAAATGTCTTGGGTCCCTGCTGGATGACTCATAATACATATGTAACTTCTTATTCCTCTTCAGTACTTTTTACTAAGGCTACACATCTGATAACTAAATACAGAACATTAGCTTACACTGAATGTTGCATCAGGATCTGAAAGAGACATCGTTAGATGCTTACGCAGATTTGGCCAACACTCAGAGTTCAGTATATCAGAGGGAGGGGCAAAGCACAGTGTCTGCAATGCTTCTTGGCGAACCTGAAGTGGTCAAAAAGATAAACACCACAAATCCGTTCACAGCAACCTCTCAAATACGTAATTTACAATACAATTTGGAGGAAGCAAGGGACAGGACCTAGCTGTAGAACAGATAAGGAATTCCAGAATACTTATCTTCTGCTATATTTTTATGGTGATTTAGACAAAACACTACATCACTGAGAAAAAAAAAACCAAGCATGTATTTGAAGAAGCCAAAAAAACATTTTATATAGGTTTTCAATACTGGATGCAAGGATTATGTTCTACTTTCTGCTTGTAATCAAGTATTTTTTTATCAGGGAACATAGGAAACTATCACCAAATACTACAAATGTGCCTAGCAGCTCTCTAAAAAGTCAGTAAGGGAAAGTGGAAACAGAGTCACTATGTTTTACTGCTGAATTTTCATCAGCATTATAACCTAAATAATTTCAAATAACTTTTTTTTTGTTCTATTTATAGACAACTGTAATCTCTAGTAATTTATTTCATATTACTGAAACAAACTGTAGGAAATTTTAACAATATTTAATAGTACCAGACTTTTTACCTGACTTTCCAAGAAAACTGGATGACAATGTTTATACCAGTTCGCATCTACCATGCCTTTTTCAACTGCCAGACACTCCCAGACAAATCTGAGACACCACTCTTAAAATCATGTTTCTCCAAGCTTCAAAAATATCAGCATCTGGTGCCGATTGGTGGGTAGAGACCCAAATTAGTACTGCCACTGACAGGAAGGCAAACCTAACTTGCACTTTGTATATTCCATCTGGCAGCAGCTTGTTGGCAAATCAGCAGGCATCTCTCTCTTCTGATAGGGGTAACTCAAAGGACAACACAGAAGTTACCGAGAAGGGCAAGGGGCACGTATACAGGAAAATAAGCTTCAGTAACTTTATTTCTGTGCTGGTTTTGGGTGGGATAGAGTTAATTTTCTTCATAGTAGCTAGTATGGGGCTACGTTTTGGATTTGTGCTGGAAACAGTGTTGATAACACAGAGATGTTTTCGATACTGCTGAGCAGTGCTTACACAGAGTCAAGGCCTTTTCTGCTTCTCACCCCACCCCACCAGCGAGGAGGCTGGGGGGGCACAAGAAGCTGGGAGGGGACACAGCCAGGACAGCTGACCCCAACTGACCAAAGGGATATTCCATACCATATGACGTCATGCTCAGCATATAAAGCTGGGGGAAGAAGGAGCAAGGGGGGGGACGTTCTGAGTGATGCCATTTGTCTTCCCGAGTAACCATTACGTGTGATGGAGCCCTGCTTTCCTGGAGATGGCTGAGCACCTGCCTGCCGATGGGAAGCAGTGAATGAATTCCTTGTTCTGCTTTGCTTGCGTGCACGGCTTTTGCTTTACTTATTAAACTGCCTTTATCTCAACCCACGAGTTTTCTCACTTTTACCCTTCCGATTCTCTCCCCCACCCCACGGTGAGGGGAGTAAGTGAGAGGCTGTGTGGGGCTTAGTTGCCAGCTGGGGTTAAATCACAGAACTTTTCAGAATTTCTCACAGAACAACTTTTTCCAAACTAAAAATGCCCATCTATAGCACATAAACTCCTAACCAAAAAAAACCCCGATACTTGCTGCAACACTAGCTTTTGAACCAGATGGTTATGGAACAATGAAATACTGCACTGCAGAGCAGTTGCTGCACTGAAGCCAAGATATATGAACAAAGACAAGATTCCACTTAGGTATATATGAACTCTTACGTACATAAAGTCTGTTTTCCAATATGCCATAAACTTTCCTTTGTATTAACATTTTATTTCTTCTTTGAAACTTACTTCCTTAGGCTGAATAGGGTCAAGCCTTTCTATAAGCAGCTGCAACTGTTCTTGACTCATGAACGTATAACTCTGTAACACACATTATAAAATGATCATTAGAATATTTTATTAAACTGAACAGCAGAAGATTAAAATCATCAGTCTTTCTGATATCTAACTTACTCTTAATAATTAGGACTTCAACATTTATACCATTTAACATTAAAGTCAACATTCTAAATGTTTTCTGCCTTTGCCCAAAGCTAAATTTACAGCAACAAAAGTCTCGTTACATATTTTGCTTTGCTTTACTTAAATGTTTCCTGTATCTTCATAAAATCCCTTATAATCATTCATTCATTCATTCAGTAATATAGCATAGTGCAGTAGTCTGGAAATGAACTGCATGTTACTTGGCTCCTAAAGTAAAATCACAGTAAGTTAGATGATGTATTGCTTTCACCAGTGTTTTACCTTTTTCTATGCAGTACTTGCATAGGTACTTCAGAGCATATGGGCATCGTATTCATTTCATCTAGCATATGCTGTCTAAAGGTTAGACAGCTAGTATAAGCTTAGTACTTCAGAGTGAAAGAAAGGTAATTAATTCGTTTTAAGATATATCAAAGATAGGAAGGATGAATCTTTTTCTAGGGCTGCTTCTGTCCAGGTCTCTGGTTGCAGGGAGTGCCTGAGCCTGTCGCTTGTACAGGAGGGCAGCAGGGACAACGCCTGTGTGCGCTGTGACCAGGTGGATGATCTGCTCAGCAGATGTGGCAGAGCTGAAGGAGGAGGTGGAGAGGTTAAGGAGTATCAGGGAGTGTGAGAGGGAGATAGATTGGTGGAGCCGCACCCTGCTGTCCCTGAGGCAAGGACGGCACATGGAGGCTCCACAAGAAGCGGAGGATCCCCTGCCCTCTTGCCACCAGGCAGAAGGAGGGGACCCAGGAGACGGGGCGGAATGGACACAGGTCCCTGCTCGGGGCACCAGGCGAATCCCCACCCGGCCTCCCTCACCTCAACCTTCCCAGTCGCCCTTACAGAACAGATACGGGGCTTTGGAGCTTGAGGGCCAGACAAACAAGGAGGCAGATGAAGGCCCATCCAGGGGTTGCTCAAGGCGAGTCAGTCAGCCCCACGCATTACAACTGCCTCTGCTAAGAAAAAAAGGAGGGTAATTGTCGTAGGTGATTCCCTTCTGAGGGGGACGGAGGGCCCAATATGCTGGCCAGACCCATCCCACAGGGAAGTCTGCTGCTTCCCTGAGGCCTGGGTTAGAGACATTACTAGAAAAATCCCTGGTCTGGTACAACCCTCCGATTACTACCCGCTCTTGGTTAT